TTACCCCAAAACAAAAAAAATCCCTAATCAGACCACCCAAAAAGACAAATGTTTCAGTTCCACTATTACTCTTTTAGTTGCACACACGCGTGTGAGCACACACACAGACGCACACATTTTTGTGACACCACTCATAAAATAAATGCGGCTGCTATTCTTTGTCGTCATATCTAAATGGAGCACTTGACATCAGTCATTGGTGGTACACATTAGCCTTAGAGCTTTCGATCTCGATAAGATTAAGTAGTGTATACCATATTTTATTTTATTTACTTTGTAAATCATTCCATAAATTTGGGTCTTATCCATATTTTATTGGGATGTTTTGGTCATTTTTTAAAGAAAAAAAAAAACTTTTCCATATTTTTGTTAGATGTACATGAAGTTAAAAACATTGATAAATGTGACATTGTAATTAAGGCTATCTCATCCATTAATCCATTCCATTTATTTAGATTGAATGGCTAAGGACATCACTCACACATACTTTATATATAAGCAAGTGGCAATACATATTATAAGTCCTCAGCATATTTTATATATATGAGCAAGTGGAATATAAACCCTGGACATAATCCTAAACAAAGCTTTTCCTGACAAAGTGAATTTGTGCTATGCTCATACTCTAGTCATTGTTAGATACATGTCTGAACCAAAGTCAAAATTATGGATTTGGTAAGTTTATCGAGAGTTTCTTTGTTTCATGTCTATAGCGAAGTTAATAAATTGGAGGATGCTCTGGCCAAAAAAGGGCGCCTCACACTCTTCTTTGGTGGTATCTGGTGATGTAATTTCTCTATTATGATTCCATGATTGTAATGTTATGGTTTAGCAATAAAAGTTTGGAATATTATAAGTGGAAAAAAAAAAAAAAATTTACATACCAATTTAGGAGGAGGAAATACTGATTTTCCCGTTCCTTCCAAGGTACACTTTTGGAGCCTCTTCATTGAAGAAATTCTTGAGAGCTTGAGGCCTCACACAACACTTATTCCCATCCTATGTGTGTAAAACCCTAAAGGATCATCATTAAATGTGTGTAGAACCCTAAAAGATCACCATTAAATATGGCATGGATTTATAGAAAGTCAAATCTCACACCCATGTAATAACTTTTCTAGAGATTCGTGTCAACTTTAATGGTGATCATTTGGGGTCCTACACATATGGGTAGGGGAGGGTCCTGTAGGAT